AATAAATATGTATTAAAAAGAAACAAATAGACATGATAATATTTTTACGGCTCATAGTTATCTACGAGACAAATCTCTATATTTTTTCCGCTAATTTTTTTTGAATTCTTTGGGTTTTTTCTATTTTTTCGTAGCACTACTTGACAATTTAGTAAAGTCATTATTGTCGGCTTTATCACTTTGGTTATTATGGGTAGCTCCTGGGGGGTTTCGAGGGCTATTACCTCTCCTAGAGCTATCCATATTTCGTGAAGTTACAGATGATAGGGATGGAAGCGTAGGAGATGAAGAGAGCGATTGTCTCTGGTACCGCCTAGTTGTTGAGCCATGGCGGGCTTTGTCGTTACCACCATGATTACTGTTACTACGTGGTGCTTCGTCTTTCATAATATGTCTCTTATCTTGAATGCTACGAGAGGGGGCCTTACTCTTTTGATTATCATCCTCAAACGTCATATTATTCATAATACGCTGACGGGCTAAGCGGTACTTTTCCTCGCGTACTTTGAGATCTTCAGCCAGTTGAACTTGGAAATCAATCTTGGGTTTTAACTCTGATTTTTCTTTCATGGGTCTCTCGTGTGACTTTATTTTTTCTTTCTTCTCTTTTGATTCCTTTTCTTTCTTCTCTTTTTTGTCCTTCTTGCCGTTTCCACTTTCATTCGATTTTTTGGTCTTTTTCTCTTTCTTTTCAGGATCAACCCGTCTCAGTAATTGAAATTGAGGTTGGTACACCGTCTGAGTGTTATATCCGGTATCCTGCGTCCACGAGTTTTCGGTGAGTTCCCGGTATGGATATTTGCCATCGCCTTCCGACGCGACATCATATAGAGGTAAAACATTGTTTAAAGTCACCTTTATGGCAGACGAAGAGATTGGTGTTAGTTTACCACAATTTGGTGACGACTAAAGCGAATTATAAACAAAAGGAAGATTAGTATTTACAAGGTAAAATCAAAATGCGTCTACTACTATTTAACTCACACTAGGATCGGTGCTCCAGTCGTCATTACTCCAAGCACTATAGTCACATTCTTGTCCCATACTAATTATCACAAACCCCCTTGATAGTGTTTATGTCTCTTTTAAACGGCTAATTCGCAGCGTGGTACATCTGTATCGCCCTATCGCACATAACACCACGACCGGGTAACACTAGTCGTCAATTGTGACGCATAACCTGTAGAGTAAATGGCGGTGAAGAATGGAAGCCATACTGGAAGGCTAATCTAAAGCTGGTAGATAGAGCATAGAGAGAGAGTGTGTGTAGTAGATACGATAGCTTTGAATTAAAGATATACAGATTAACAGATATACGACAAAAGGATATATATCAGCAAGTAATAAATAGAGGGCCAACTAAATCACGCCGGCTAGTCCTTTTTAGTCTCTTTAGCGTCTTTATCCTCGTTCAAGGATTTGGGGTCGACGTTTCTGACCTGAGTGAAGACGGACTCGAGCACGGTCTTATCGGTGGGGATTTGAATTCCGGGCAGACCATAGTTGCTGGCTTGCTTTCCTTCCTGGCTGGGCATTACAGTGGCAGAGTACTTGGAGTCACCCTTGGGCTCAGAATGGGCATTGTTGTCGGACATTTTGAATGAGTATGTGTATTTGTGCGTGTGTATAAAACGGCGTATATAGAAGAGCGGGGCGTCTGTTGGTGATGATATGTATAGCAGACAATAGTGGGTAGTTGGTGGCGAAAAAAGAAGAAAAGAAAGAAAGAAATAGAGGAAAAGATGAGTGTTGAAGGCAAGACGTTCAGCAGCAACCTACTATGATTACCTTATCATATTTATACTCTGCTGGACAAAGGCTCTGAAAGACTCTACTTGAGGCGGTGACATAATGCAGGAACCTTTACAAATTCACGGCTGCGGCTGGTTGGGGTGACTTTTTGTGTCTGATTGGTTTTTGTTTCTCGATTTAGAGTCGGTTTTTGTTTTTGTTTTTGTCTTTTGTTTTTGTTTTATATAAATAAAAACCTATTCGTAGAGCGGCTAGCATGGGCAATGTACTATATTCCTAATCGCTACTGGGTGCAATTCTAAGCGTGCTCGGGGTTCCGCTAACGCTGATATCGTGCACCTTCAGGGTCTTAGTGAACATCACTTGTTCTTGCAAGGACAGATTAGGCAATTATGGATTGTCCGAGTTCGAATCGGCCAAGGCTATAAATAATTGTAAAATTTTGTCTTTAAGCAAAAAAAAAACCCCCCCAATTGCCAGTTCATACCTATTTCACCTCTTTAGCCACATTGTACTCTTTCCTAATGCCGTTTCTTTTTGCCTTGGCCCTGATGTTGGCTCTCGCTGGCTGTATCCTCCCGCTTACTGGCGTCGGCGCTCAGGATCTAAACTCCATCGTCAATAATGATCTAAATGTCAGCGAGGGCCAGAACCTCCTGGTGAAATTCTTTGACGACTTTCGCGAAAACATGAATCTGTATTTCTATAAATACTACAGAGACGCGACTGAAATTCAAATGCCGGATCTTCCCACTCAGTACGGCCCTATAGTAAACCAGATCATCACCTACACCGACGATTCCTATACTACCCTGCTCGATAATCCAGCATTATACCCTGGCACCAAAGAAGAATTAATCGATGGACTTCTTCTGGGCGTCGAAGGGTTTTCCTGGTGGAATGGCTTTATATCCACAGCAGAGCTGATAGCTGGCTCAGTGACGGCAGTTGGAGCCAGTGCTAGTGCTAGTGCTCGTTTGGATCCAGTAGCAAGCCTAACCCCCACTGCGTTCGTCAATAGTAGTGGCAGTATCTTCATTGCTACTACTACTAGTTTAAAATCTTCAATGGCTACCTTGGTGACAAGTTCCGCTGTAAATTCCTCATCAGAGTCCGCAGCTATCTCTTCAGTCTCAGTATCGTCTGATGGGCTTCATGTTATAGTAAATAATATGGTACTTAGCGTGGCTATTATGATGCCGTTTATAATATTCATTCTGTCTGTTTAAGCTTCCTAGGAGGTTATATATATATATATAAATTCAAAATTCTCGTTTTTTTTACAAAATTTATACTATCCCCAATATCTCCCCAGCTTCAGATTATGCCGCTGAAACGCCGGAACCCACGCAGTTAACCCCACATTAATATCTATTCCTGCAGCCGGACTCTGCTCAACTCCCGAGGTTCATTATAAATACCGCTGGATCACCCTCAACTTTTATTCCCGTTTACCAGATTCATTCATACTTATCTATCTACTCATAGTCTGCTGATATTGACCCACTTTTAATTACAATGTCTCTTATCCTTAAACGGTCATTTTCCTCTAGTGTTTGTTCCCGTCAGGTCAAACTCAATCCAGTATACATTCTCTCAGGAGCCCGTACCCCTATAGGAGCCTTCAATGGCTCACTCAAGTCGATTTCTGCCGTGGAACTAGGGACAATTGCCGTCAAGGCAGCAGTAGAAAGAGCCGGCTTGGCTAATAAAGATGTTCAAGAGTTGTATATGGGCCAGGTGCTTCAGGGAAATGTGGGCCAATCACCCGCTCGTCAAGTGGTAATCAAAGCTGGCCTTCCGGAGTCCACTGAAGCTACCACCATTAATAAAGTCTGCTCTTCTAGTTTAAAGGCTGTCTCTATTGCGACACAGTCTATTCAAGTTGGCGACCGAGATATTATTGTCGCAGGTGGTATGGAATCCATGTCAAATAGTCCCTTTTATCTTAGTCGAGGCTCGCTAAATTTTGGTGACGTCAAAGCAACAGATTCCATAATCAAAGACGGTCTCTGGGATGTCTACAATAATATTCATATGGGAAACTGTGCTGAAAATACTGTCAAACGAGAAAAAATCACCCGCGAACAACAAGACGCCTACGCCATCGAATCCTACCAACGAGCTATAAAAGCTCAAAGAGAAGGTCTTTTCAATGCAGAAATTATTCCAGTGGAAATTAAATCTCGTAATGGTACATCTGTTATCAGCGAAGATGAATCCCCTAAGACAGTACGCTTTGATAAAATTCCTACACTGAAACCCGTATTTGACAAGCAGGGTACAGTGACTGCTGCTAATTCCTCCTCTATTAACGATGGAGCCTCAGCTTTGGTTTTGGCATCTGGAAATAAAGCCAAAAAGCTTAATAGTCCTATTTTGGCCAAGGTTATTGCTTACGCCGACGCTGCAACTGCCCCTATTGATTTCACCATCGCTCCCTCACTCGCCATCCCACTGTTGCTGAAAAAGGCCGGATTATCCATCTCTGACATCGCTAAATGGGAAATTAATGAGGCCTTTGCCGCCGTATCATTGGCGAATAATGCCATCTTAGGTCTTGATGCTTCTAAAGTGAATGTCAAAGGTGGTGCGATTGCCCTGGGCCATCCAGTTGGCTCATCAGGCTCAAGAATACTTGTGACTTTAATCAATAGTCTAAAAGAAGGAGAATATGGAGTTGCTGCTCTTTGTAATGGTGGTGGAGCGTCAACATCAGTGTTGGTTAAAAAGATGAGTAAGGTTGAAGAGTAGGAGAGACTGTCACATAAACCCATCTACTATATGCAAGAGGAAAAGGATATAATGTAATTGGTTTGTAAAGAAAGCCCTACACATGATATATAATGCCAATCGCCTCATTACTACTGAAACTAGCTTGTGTTATGCTTATGGTGTATATTTTTTTTTATTCACTAAATAATTTTTTTTCTAGTCAACTTAATGTTATTACCTCAATACAGAAATAAAGAGACATGCACCGATGAACATTGATTAATTACATAAATCAGGCAGACTTGTTTTTTGTAAAAAGTGCCCAGAACATTTTAGCAATGAACTTAGTGGTAATTACAAGACAAATTCTTGCACCAATAAAGCCAATTTTTTCAAAACTATTAGCTTTTGCCTCCATTACTTTAAATTAACCCCCTTTGTTCATTGATAATATGTTAATGATTAGCTTTTTTAAAACCCATAAAAAATTAATGCCTTTATTATAAGCGACACGTTTGAAAAACAAAAAGTTAACCTGTGTAGCTCAGTTGGTAGAGCGTTCGACTTTTATGATATTTCCTTCATTATAGGTTATCGAAATGTCCAGGGTTCGAGCCCCTGCATGGGTGGATATTTTTTACCTTTTTAACCTATTGGGTAAAATTATCTCATAACCTTTTAAGATGGTTAACTTGGCATGATAAGGCATGATTAGCGCCTTCCTCCAGCTGAAATGGTTTTTCTTTCTTCATAGTTACTAAAATGTCGGATTTACAAAAACAATTACAGAAAAAAAAAATCTCACACAGCAGTTTTAAGCTACCAAATTTGCCATCTAATTCTACTAAACATTCTCTTGATTTCAGCCTTCAGGCACCTGCAGTGCTCGGTAAACCACAGGCCCCCTTTTGTCAAGACTTTGATGAAATGCATCGCGATGGATACCGGAGTCCTTCTCACGATGATGGGGCTGATGAGGATGCTGAGACTGATGATTATTTTACTGAACTGGGATGTAAATCATCAGTTAAAAGGGTATCGAGGTTCAACACCGAACCAATCGAGACTAAACCCTGGTGTGATTTTTTTGATGAAAACTTTCAAGTTCTATACAATGACGTAAACAATCATGAAAATGGAGCGTTCAATGTCTTCTTTTCGTCACCCCAATCGATTGATGCGCCCATATTTATATTTCATCATGGTGCAGGGTCGGGTGCGCTGTCATTTGCTCTATTAGTCAAGCGCTTGCAAGGGTTAATGAAGCGGGAAAAAGAGACTAGTGATGATACTACCAGTACATATCCTAGGTTTATGCTACCAGATAATGATCTGGCGGTTGCAGGTGCTATTGCTTTCGATGCAAGGGGACATGGCGCTACTACCTTGGGTAATAATGTCCCTGAGGCCACCATTGACTATAGTCTTGATACCCTAACCGAAGATTTTCTCTTTTTGTTGTCTTCGGTCGCCAAACGCCAGAAATGGGATGAATTAGCTTCACCTCCCAAATTGATTTTTGTCGGGCATAGTCTCGGTGGTGCCGTGGTGACAAACGCGGCTCTGAAACTCAAACAAGCTGGCTTGGTTTCATTGTCATCGTCTTCAGTATTTAGAAATATAATAGGATTAGTAGTACTTGATGTTGTGGAGGGTTCAGCTATTGAAGCCTTACAGTCTATGAATCAAATTCTTTCTACACGACCTGCAAAGTTTGATAATATTAATGATGCCATCGAGTGGCATCTGAGAACAAGAACGTTGAGGAATAAAGAAAGCGCCTCAGTTTCTGTACCTGGTATTCTCAAGCCCATTATTGAGGGGTCAATACCATCTAAAAGTCTTACTTGGATAACTGATTTAAAGAAGACAGAGCAGTTTTGGAAGCAATGGTTTTTCGGGCTATCATCTAAGTTCCTTCAGGCACCAGCAGCCAAACTTCTCATTTTAGCTGGAACAGACCGTCTGGATAAAGATTTAATGATTGGTCAAATGCAGGGAAAATATCAACTCATTGTGTTTCAAGATTCAGGCCATTTTTTACATGAAGATAATCCTACTAAAACCGCTCTGGCCCTTATTGACTTCTTCAAGCGTAATGACCGAAGTGGAATTACTACCATCCCCGTTTTCGGCAAATTTAATAAACAATAATGATTTTAAAATCTATAGACCCGTACAATTTTATATTTACCTTAAAAAAATCAATCAGTTTTAGATTGCTTGTTAACAATTTCATCAATTTTTTTAGAAGCCCAGGCAAAACTAGGATTAATTAAGATAGGTCTTAAATCGAATCGGTTATCATCAGGTGAATATTGTTCAGCGTGGTAAGATGGAGTCAAAGTAGTTTGTTTGTGACGATTAACCGCATAAAAGTAAAAGAATCGTTTAACCTTAATAGCTATCTCGGCGGGAGTAAGGCGAGGGGTCCATTCGTGATAAAGCTTCAAAAACATACTATAAGGACCACACTTTTCAACTTTTCTTAATCTGCCAAAAATAGAAAGTTCATCGTAGGTCATCCCCATGTCAATTTCATCAGATTGTACGTAGTCTTTCGTGATTGGCTCTAATTCAGCTGTGGGGGTGGCAGTCAAGAAATCATCCAAAATGGGCATTTGATAAGTATCACGAGCGTAAGCAATAAAAGCCTTTAAATCAGTCTTAGAAATACCACCGATAGGATTGATATCAGCACTGGAGCAATCGTATTTAGTCAAATATCCTCTAAGGCATTCATCAACGTTGGCCGAACCTAAAACCAACAAACCACCACTGCTTCTGCCTCTCACCCAAGGTAAAAGTTGAGCAAACAAATAGGCTAAAACCATTCTCAAACGAGCCTGGATGTTTTGCAGAGCTAGATTTTCTGTTTGAGTACCTCCATTGACACGAAAAAGGGGTCTTCTACCGGTAACGATTTCAAATAAGCTTCTTACAGCACTGACAACGCTGTCCATATTAAGATCAATATGGTATGCACCAATAACTGAAGCTAATTCCTTAGCACGCGCTCTAGTATCAGTAGAGGAATTTTCAGTACCCATAAAACATGTGTGAAAGATACGACCAGAGAACTCAACAGGGTCAGTAGGAAGATAATCTGAATCTTCAGGTAGGCCGGCAGCACGACGAGCGTCAGTAATTACTTGCTCATTACCTTTCTGACTGGCTTCACACACTAAACGACACATTGAGTGAACAATCATGGAGGTAGCACAACTGTCAATACCACCGGAAAGAGGAATAAAGAATCCTGCAGCACGACATCTTCGAAGATAATCCCACATCCAGCATGCGGGACCAAGTGCAATTTCCTCTTCCGGTGTATGATACCTAATAGGTCTGATCTTAGTAGGGACCAGATCGGGGTTAAAATTGAGGGAATCGGGTGATAACTCAACATCAACATTAATACGCTGGTAAACAGGTGAGGTAGTGCTTTGAAGGCCATGCGACATTGATGATTTATAACTTCTTACAGCATCCAAGTCTACAGTAGCCGTAATAACCTCAACATCATCTAAGCCGAACTGAGAGCCTTGAGCGACAACAGAACCATTGACAATAATAAGTGCACAGCCGTCATAGTATAGCCTATCTCCATCGCAACCACGTTGATTGGCATAAAGATATACCCCGCCGCATTTAGTAGTAGCTTCAGTGATTAACTGCATTCTAGTGTCAAGCTTACGAAGCTCATGGTGACTGCCAGAAGAATTAGTGAAAATCTCAACACCGTCTAAAGCCATATTAATATGGGGTGCATTTGGAGTGAATAGTTCTTCGCAAGTTTCGACACCAATGACAGTATCTTCAGTAGCAATTACAGCATCACCAAAGTCAACATTCTTTTGACCAATGATTTTTTTAATAATGCTTGGCAAGTTGAAAGATTCCACATGGCATGTTCTAATCCATGGAGTAAAGTATCTCATTTCACGGTAGTTACCATCATTGGCAAGCCAAATTTTAGGTCTGATAAGCAAGAGCTTTTTATTGTATGAAATCAGACGACAGTTATATCTGACATTTCTATGCATCACGGGCATACCAATATCCAAGATAATATCCTGCGTTTCTTCGCTTTCCAGAATCTGAGCATACATTTCCCAGGAATGTAAGAAGACATCGCTTTCCAAAAAATGGTCTAAACAACCATAGCCAGTAACTTCTAACTCAGGGCCTACTCTTAGCTTAGCGCCTCTATTCTTGGCTACCTTGATACTTTCGATGATTCTGTCACGATTTCCTTCGAAATCTAAAGCCCATTGATTTAGATTACACGTTGCTAGTGTAACTAAATGGCCCATATTAAAGTTTCTTCTTTACCACTGCAAATTTGGCTGAATCTTTTATATGGTAAAACTGATTGCGGGTGGGTCAAAAAGCTTATCAGAGTCTCCTCCGATCTTTTATCATAAAAGGGAGGCTGACAAGACAAGGCTGGGTTATCGTCCCTATATAGTCACGTGATTATATTTTTTGATTTCCCGTTTTTGGCTAGTTCTTGTTTTAAGTTAGTAGAAGGCATATATATATATAGACGAAAGACTGATTAAGCAAATTAATTCTAACATATCTAGGAAGTTTCTCAGGTCTGAATAGTTATTTAAATAATGTCTGATCCTACACTTAATCGCATCGCGGATTCTAAAGATGCGGAAAAGTCTGGCTCCAAAGTGACAGGGAGCAATATAGTTGAAACTAAAAAGAGATTACTTGATCAACCGACTAGAAGCGATGATGGTTCTAATACGGCAAATGTAGTTGAGGACGACCAGGAAATTCCATCGAAGAGAATGAAAAATGAAGAAGTAGAGGAAATTATTGGGGACAAACCTATTGAGTCCGATTTGGCTGTCAAGGCTGAAACTAAAGCGGAAACAAGAGCTAATACAGTAGAGAAAGATGATATGCCGGTTAAAGAGGCTAGTGAAGAGTTTGAACCTCAGACGGTTGATACAGCTAGTTCCTCTAAATTAAAGCATACCTTTGGCTGTTCTAGTTTTGGGTCATTTACCACCAGCCTTAACTCGAAAAAGTCGTCTGATTCTACGGAACCCCTTACTGAAGTATCTAATACTGTTTCTTCTAACACAACAGCCTCGCCTTCTTCATCAAATTTCTCTTTTGGCTCTGGATTACCTTTTGGTGGATCTGCCTTTAGTATTTTACCTAAGAAAAATATTTTCGAAAGTAGCAATATCGAAAAAGAAGGAGGAGATACTGAGGGAGAGGATACCAAATTGAAATCTAAAGAGACTAGTGATGCTTCTAAAGCTCTTGATTCTAACTCTTCAGCTACTGAAAATTTTTCTTTTGGTAGTGGTCTCTCCTTTGGTAGCTCTTTTGGCAATGTTATTTCGGGTTTATCCAAGAAGGATAATCCTTGGAGTGAAGCCAAAGAAGAATTTCAAGAGGAAGATGTTATTGACAACGAAACAGAAGATACCTCAAAGGATGATCTTTACGTTCAAATTGGCAAGCCTTTAGAGAAGAAGGTTGTCGAGACGGGAGAAGAAGACGAGAAATCAGTTTTTACATGCCGCTCTAAATTATATTCACTGGATCTTACTGCTACTGCTGAAGGCTGGAAAGAACGTGGCGTCGGTACAATTCATGT